GCAATTAACACCCGTGCTAGTTGTCCTAGTTGCTCAGAAAATGTTGCAAAAATACATTAATAAACTTCCAATTTTGAAACTTTCCATTTTTGAATTCAAAAGTTAAATTTTTGGCACAAGTGTCAAATAGACTCATCTACTATTTTGAAGTGTTCAATTTTTTCCATCAATTAAAATATAATCTAATTGGACACACTTACCTCTAAAAATTTGTCAATTAGCTTTTTTTGCAGGTTACTTCCAGGTTGCCACTCCACACTGCTGACATGTAATTTTATTTAAATAAAAATGGTGATGATGTGGTATTTACTTCCTAATCTCCAGCTTTTTTTGCAGGTTACCTCCGGGTTGCCACTCCACACTGCTGACATGTAATTTTATTTAAATAAAAAGGGTGATATGTGGTATCTACTTCCTAATCTCCAGCGAGAACCCTAGTCCAACATGTGAAATAATTTTCGTTCTTCAATTCTTCAGTCTAGAGACATTACAAACTTCATAACGGAAATTATTTCGCTAGGCGCCAATTATGTTCCAAAAAGCAATGTTGAAAAAATCGCTAGGCACAGAACGCCTAGGAGGCCGACCGCCTAGCGCTTAGGCGCCAATTAATCGGCGCTTAGACGCGATTTTTGCAACACTGGCCAAAAGGTTTCCCCAACCCCACGCCTCGGTCCGACCGATCATCTCGGAAGATGTAAATCATGGTAATTCAGTTGAACACAGAGACTAGACATTTGTTTACTGTGCACAATGAGTCATCCTTACTTTGAGGGGTTGCTCCCACACTGTCGTGTGTGAGAGTTGATCCCGGGTCATTGTTCCCAAACTTCATTCATATGACCAACTGAGCTCTTCATGCCGGCTTTAGATTTAAATTTTTATCATAACCATGGGAAGTTGGCAACTTGCATGATCGTCTTCCACATAGTTGCACCGATAAGACGACCTAATCTCCCCTAATTTTTAGATAATACAAAGTAAACAAACAAAAATAGACTATTGATGATATTGTCCTTGTAGGGCTATATATAGGCTATATATATTACACTATTAGTTGGGCACGAAAAATAAGGTTGTGCGTTATACGAATTCTTCAAACCAAAATTTAAAATATAGATCAAAATTTTAATTTCAAGTAAATATGAATGACTATGGTTTAGGATATTTTAAAAATAAAAAATAATTAATATATTTACACTTATAATAATATAATAATTATGATGAGTTTTTATTTTTCGTTATTTACTTCATTAAAATAATTTATTTTCTAATAATATATTTAATAAAAATTAAAGAAGAAGTGTAGAGAAACTTATATAAAAACTTCCTTGTATATTTTGTCACATCACTTATTTGATGTGAAACAAAGATTTATTTTAAGCAACTTTGGCAATCAATAAAATGGAAACATGGGCTTCATTATATTATTCAAAAGTGATGGAACTGTGGGCTTCAATAGTCCACACAAGTAGCAATGAATCTTGAATTGAATGGTCAACTCTTCAAACAATAGTTTCATTATTCCAACACATAATGTACATTATTCTAATACATAAAGTACATTATTCTAACTAATAAAATCCAACGATGTCGTTTGAACAATGAATTTGTCCACTTCAAATAACAATTTTTCTATTATTGTTATTATTATTTGAGTCCTTTCACCTTATCTCATTTTTAAGTAGCAACTTTCAGCACGTTTTCTATTAGTAAGCATTGGCTGCATTGACAGGCTATTCCTTTGGTATTAATATATAAATATAAGCAAGACTTTAGAGTCTGTCCCTGTCGTATATGTGGAAGCCATCATTTTTCTTATATTCTCCAATACATGCATTGAATCAGAACCAGCCCGTGACCACCTCTATCATCTATATATATATATATATATATATATATATATATATATATATATCCTCATCAGTCTCTCAATCTATAGATATAAATTTCCCGCCAATACAAGGTAATTGAGAAGGAGTGAATTTGCACCAATGGCTTCTCAAGGCAACAATGGTATGATACTATTCTCTTAGCTTCATTGTATATATATATATACTTACCAATGTGCAGATTACAGAAGTATATATATATATATATATATATATATATATATATATATATATATATATATATATATATATATATATATATATATATATATATATATATATGTTCCCACTGCATATGGTATATGGATATATATATATATGGTGATAATATTAATATGAAATGAAAGTTTCAGTATGTATTGTCTGATTTCTTTCTTGTCCCTTTATTACTTGAGTATATATGTTGTGTAAGTTTCAATCTCTAGTCTGAGGGCACGGAGATAGGATTGTTGTGTTAATGTAGGGGGCGGCCTGGTTAGTTGTTGCGAACCTGCAAATTCGTTTCTATAGCAGTGATTATTTCACGACACGACATTCTTTTATTTTCACATCATCTCATCTTTAGCCTTATTTCCTCAACAGTACAGTATGTATATATTCTGATGGCTATATATATATATATATATGGTCTGCATGCATGCAGTTGATGATCTTGAAGCAGGTAACTATGTGGGTGAAGAAGATTTCAGCAAATACTTGACATTGCACAGAGCTACAGTGCATGGGAAATGGGGGGAAGCTCAAAAATTCTTGGAGGATAACAATAATAACCGTGCAATCCTGCTAGCTCCTATCAACTTCCAGAAGAACACTGTATTGCATGACGCTGCTAAAACAGGTAATAATAAGGTTTTTGTGGAAAAGCTTGTGGCAATGATGGCCGCCATGGGAGATGATAACAAAGAGCTTGGCGTGGTGAAGAACCGAGATGGGATGACGGCGCTCCACCTCGCCGCCCGGTTTGGGAACAAGGAGGTGGCTGAAATCCTTGTTGGGAAGAACCCTAATCTCCTCTATCAAAGATGCAACAGGGGTCTTCTCCCCATCCATTACGCAGCTTGCAATACTCGCAGTTGCCAGGAGGTGTTTCGTTATTTCTGGGGTGTCACTAAGGACGATGAAGATCCTCAAGTTAATCCATATGCAGGCCCAACTGGTGCCACCATCCTTGTTAACTTAATCAAGTCTAAATTCTATGGTATGATTTTAAGACATCCATACATTTCATAGCCCGGCCTCTAGACACAGCTCAACTAGCTAGGAGCTATGGAACTCTCGAGATTGAGATGCAATATACACTATTGGAAATTATGAAATTTCCGCCCACTTGAAAGTGATCTTAAATCAAGTCGAAAGCCTTGTTCCGACCACTTTTAGTATTCGGAAATTAAAACCTTCATTGCTATTTCCGACCACTTTTTACTTTTAACTCGATTTAAGATCACTTTCAGCTGGTCAGAAATTCCATAATTTCCAACCGTGATATATATATATATATATATATATATATATATATATATATATATATATATATATATAATTTTAAATTCTATCTATATAGTAGTGTTTGAATATACAAGAATAAAATTGACATGTTACAATTTGTTTTTTTTTTCGATTTTTAGACGAGGCAATGGAGTTGGTTGATAAGTACCCTGATTTGGCTCGTCATCCGACATTAGACGAGGACATTTCTCCTTTGGAAGCCATAATCAAATATGGTTATCCTATCATCGACAAAACTAAATTAAGTGAAACTTCGATACGGGAGTGTAAGTAGTAGTACTAATTTATTTGGAGCAATTCAGACCCAATGGGTCGTATTTATTAATTTTTTTTGTAACGTTTGAGTTTGTCAGGTATTGGTAACTTAACTGACACACAGCCCGCCCTGCGAATTCTTTCAGGGATGTGTCTGAAGATGGAAGTAAAGGAAATAAAGGAGCAGGAACAACCAGGCAAGCTTCTTGAATTCCTGTGCCAGAAACTGGGAACCCTAAATGACAAAGAAGTTGCGTCTGTTGCAACAAAAGCAATCATTGAAGCAGCGCATTTGGACATTGACAAGGTGGTTGAAAAGGTTGTGGAAGCATATCCTAGGACGGCTTATTACCAGGACAAAATTAGTGGTCGGAATATACTTCAAATTGCAGTAGAGAACCGGTGCAAGAACGTTTTCAACCTGGTTTGTGGAACTAAAAGTAGTAGCTGCGGCAAGGTGCTTATGCATGATTTAATGGAGGAAAGAGACGACAACGAGAACAACATCCTTCATTCGGCCGGGAAATTGCCCCCTCCACACAAGCTAAATCGTTTTTCCGGCGGTGCAGCTCGGCAAATGCAGCGGGAGCTGCAATGGTTTAAGGCAGTGGAAAAGATCGCACCACCATATTTCTCATCGCTCAAGAATAAAGACCACAAAACACCCAAAATGGTGTTCACGGATGAACATCGGAGCTTGAAGACGGAAGCGGAGAAATGGATGAAAGAGACGGCAACCGCATGCTCAGTCGTGGCGGTGCTCATAGCCACTGTCGCGTTCGCCGCCGCCGTCACAGTTCCGGGGGGCACTTACGGTGAACTTTCAGCCGGTGGGTTTAATGGTACAATCGGATATCCCCTCCGCCGCGGCAGGGGCGTCTACAATTCCACGATTATAGTTCCCGGCGGCAACATCACTGAAGCCCACGGCAAAGAGGGCTCCCCAATCTTCTCCGGCTTGGGTACTTTCGCAACTTTTTATCTCGCAAATGGCGCCTCTCTCTTCACATCGGTTATTTCTCTGCTATTCTTCTTGTCCATTATACTCACTTCTGGCTATGCCGAAGAAGCTTTCCTGAAAGCTCTTCCCAAAAGATTAATCATAGGCCTCTTCACCCTCATATTCTCCATACTATTTTTGATGCTATCCTTCTCCATGTCGGCGTTTCTGGTATTTGGCAAGAGGTATAAAACTGTTCGTACTGTGTTGACCGTACTCATCGTAGTTGCAGTCGTGCCGGCCACTTTATTTGTGCTTTTCCAGTTCCGACTCCTGGTGGCTTTCTTATCATCTACCTTCGGACGCGGTAGGAAAATTTTAGAAGAAGAAACCCAAACGCCGTGACATATATTATTATTTCCGAATTCATTCTTGTTTTAATTTGGCTTTCAAAGTTTAAAGATTTTATGCCCGCATTTTGTGTTAATTAATGTTGTCGTCTTAAGATTTTTTTTGGTCTTTTAATTGCACATGTATGTTATTGAAATTAAGGAAGACTGTAACAACAAATAAAGGATTTTGTTAGGAACCTTGTATTAGGATTTTGATGATACCAATGTAATGTAGAAAGTAGACCCCTAACTCTTACGTTTCTCCTGAATTGCTACTTTCGTTCTAGACGAAAGTTGCCATAACTCATATGTAATTCGTGTTAAGCTAGAACAAACACACGAAAAGAGTTATGAATAGAAGATAGGCTGATCAAGACGAAAGAAGACTCCACAGCAACGAAAGAAGGAGTTGTCATTAAGAAGACAGTTCTCTTCAAGACTATTCCGACAAGTATTCTTCTTCTCATCAACAAGAAGAATGTTCTATCTGTCTGATTTGACAACATCCTAGGACAATAAGGACCTCAACTCATGGGACACGCTCTCCAAAGAGCATTTAATGAAGCTGTACTATCTCTGGAGCTAAAAGACAAAAGCCATCAAGTCCTCCATACCTTCAACGACTACTTAGTACAAACCCATTAATGGAGCATTAAATGCATGAGGCTCCATGGTCCTTGTCCATCGGATAAAAGGTTCGAAAAATTCATCTCCCTCCAACGGATGAATTTTCATCACCTATATAAACCAACCTTCATCAACTAAGAAGGTGCTGGTTCATTATCACTCTACTCACTCTCTTGCAAAAAGTCCTTGAAAAGTTAACAATCTCAAAACTTTTTGCGAACCAGTTAATTAAGGTGTTAAGGCATTTGAAGTAGATCATCCATCACTGCCCTACATCTTGAAAGAAGTCTTGCACTCTTGAAGCAATCATCCCACACCATCAAGACTTCACAGTTGGAGGAATCAAGAAATACTTTCTTACCAACCTCAACTTAGAAGAAGAAGTTGATAGAGGCGGAGTAAACTCTCGGAGTTGAAAAACCTTCAAAGGTTGTCCGGCTTAGTGATCAAGGAAGTCTTTGTGTAATTGTACTAAAGAGTGATAATGCAATCCTTCCAGCAGTTGTGGAAGAAGAGTGGAAGTAGGCAACATTTGGCCGAACCACTATAAAATCTCGTCTCACTCTTCTCTCTACTTTCTGCTTTATTTTACTGCTTGCATATCATCTTTTTCATCACTCCTCTTAACTTTCTATCAAACTCGTGCAACCCTCACTTTATAATCTTTCCGCTGTGCTTATCTTACTCAAAAGTGTTGTCAGAGTTTTTTTTTTTTAAAAAAAAAAAACTAAAGAAAAACGAGAGTCTATTCACCCCCCCCCCCCCCCTCTAGACTCACCACACAATCTATCGGGACCAACAAGTGGTATCAGAGCCAAATACCTTGAACGGTAAAGGCTTTTTGCATTTTCTGCCTGGTAGATCTACCCTTGAATTTTTTTTTTTTTTTTTTTTGGATCTTCTTCGTTGCACGATTTTTTTTTAAATGGAAAAGGAATATGCACAACATCGCTCTAAACAGCTTGCTTTTAGTCTTGCCAAGTTTGATGACTGGAAATTGAGAATGCAGGCTCTTCTGTGCTCTATTCATGATGAAATGTGGGACGTCATAACTACTGGACCTATCACAGTGATGATGGCAAATGCACAGGCTGCTGCTCAAGGACCAGATGCTCCACAAATGATACCTAAGCCGAAAGAGCAGTATACCTCGGACGAAAGAACAAGAGCAAATCTGGACAATGTGGCAAGGAACATTCTTTACAACTCTCTAGATGATTCACTCTTCCCCAGAGTCAGAAAATGTACAAATACCATGGAAGTATGGAAAGTTCTAATGGACTTGGGAGAAGGAGATGAACAAGAAAAGGACAACAAACTGACAATGGCCATGAAGAAGTTCGAAGACTTTAAAATGCAGCCAAACGAGACGATCATGGAGATGGAGCTAAGATTCACAAGGCTGATGGGAGACTTGTCAGACCTTGGAAAAGAACTCACCGAAAAGGAAATGAATCTAAAAATCCTTCGTGGATTGCCGAAGTCATGGGAGATGAAGGTCATCGCGATGAGAGATAATCGTGACATGAAAACAACACCCATAGCCAAAATCTTCAGTGATCTCAAAGCATATGAGTTTGAACATGAACCGAAAGATGCTGAGGAACCAGAAACAAGAAATATTGCCCTCGTAGCAAATCAGGCAGCGTCAACCCCTAACAGGTCGAAATCTAACTCTTGTGATTTTTTAACTGACGAACAATATGCCCTATTTGTCAGGAAAATGAAAAGATTCATGAGAAAGAACAACTTTCAAGATCCACAACGGTCAGGCCACCGAAAGAGGCATGAAAGCTTCCCTCAGACTTCAAAGACCGAAACCACTGATTCACAGCTGTTGTGCTACAACTGCCGAAAGCCAGGGCACTTCAAAGCGAACTGTCCTTATCCAATGGTTAGCAAATATCAAGATGGCAACGATATCACAAGCCCCTCAAGGGAATCTGGAGAAAAGCACAAGAGAAGTGATAAACCAGAATCATCAAACTCCAGGAGTGAGGGAAGAAGAAAAGCAATGTGGTTGCCGAAAACACTGAAAAAGCTATACCCGAAAGTAGTACCTCAAGCTCAAGCTCAGAAGACGAAAGCAGTGATGAGGAGAAAGGACTACTATGCCTCTACAGCCAAGAATCAGAGGAACTATGCCTCATGGCAGATGAAGAAGAGGTAAACTCTCACTCTTCTTCTTGTTATTCAGCCGAATCAAGTTCTTTAGCGAGTCAAACCTCCAGTGAATCTGTCACTGAAATGATGAGGAGGTTCAAGTTGATAAATAGCACTTACTCCAAGCTAAAAGAGGAGAACTCTCGGCTCATGACTAGCTATAATGAATTAGAGCAAGTTCGCATTGAGAACAATATGCTGATCATTGCTAAGGAGCAGCTCGAGAAAGATGTTCTCGCTCTTAAGGAGCAGTGCACAGCAAAAGAAAAGAGAGAGCAAGAATTGCTTGAAGTGTTGGACAAGTTTAACAATTCATCCAACTTAATGGACAGAATGTTGAACGAATCCAGACTGCCCGGAGAGAAAACCGGAATTGGTTTTAACTCCAGCTCCTCTTCACAAGTCGAAACGAACAAATCCACGAATGCATACTCACACGAGAATCTTGCAACCATATTTGTTCAAGGACCAACCCAGCTGCCCGAGCCTATGATGGTACATAACAATGTCACAGCACCACAATCAACAAGCCAACCGAAAGGAAATGCTGTACAACAAATTGTGGAAACAGGAAAGAGAAAACCTAGTAAAGGCAATCCTAGACAAATATATGTCAAAAGGAATGGACCAAATGGCAGTGGAAAAAGTCCACACCAAAAATTGAGTCAGCCTAACTGGAATTCTCGATCCTATAAAAAGACAAATGTTAACCAGAGGCAATATCGTCCAAAGAGTTCTGCTCAGGGAATCTCAAAGAACGAACAACCCGAAAGGATCCTCAGAAGATCTGGGTATGGCAATGGAAGGACTGGGCCTTCAGAAGAAGATTGGTTTGATTACCCGGAACTCCTCTCGAGGAAAGCTCTTGAGGTAACACATCGACGTAAACAAACCGATTATCGTTGGTATTATGAAAATCTTCCACCAAAAGAGCAACAAAGGAAGTATAAGGACAAAGTCTTTGCCAGTATTTATTACGATTATCGCACCTCCAACGGATACAGAGGACCAAGGATGAGTCATGTGCACTCTAGGTTAATGTGGGTTCCAAAATTGACTGCTAACCCCCAAGGACCCGAAACTAAGTGGGTACCTAAAAATGCATAATCTTTGATGTAGGAGAAACAGGTCATATGGTATGTCGACAGTGGATGCTCAAGACATATGACTGGTGACAAAACAATTTTGAGCAATTTCATAGAAATAAATGGACCCAAAGTTATCTTTGGAGGAGAAACAAGTGGCCAAACTCGAGGAAAAGGAGATATCATCAAGAAAGGAATAATCATACAAGATGTCTCTTATGTAGAAGGACTTAAATTCAATCTTCTAAGCACAAGTCAGTTCTGCGACAAAGGATACAAAGTAGAATTCTTTAAAGAAGAGTGCAAAATCATAAACACGAAGGATGGCAGGACAGCACTTACAGGCCAACGAAAGAAGAACATGTATGTAATTTCATTAAATTCTTCTAATACTAATGTTTGTCTTGTAGCAAAGAGTAATGCAGATCTCAACCAAGAATGGCACAACAAGCTAAGTCACTTGAACATGAAGACAATAAACAAGCTTGCAAAAAGGAATCTTGTAAGAGGCTTACCCGAAACATCATACACGAAAGATAGGATGTGCGATGCCTGCCAAAAGGGAAAACAGCTAAAGTCGTCCTTTAAGTCAAAAGATGTAGACACAAATTCCCGATCTCTAAGCCTTCTGCACATGGATCTTTTTGGACCAATAGATCCAGCAAGTATAAGCGGAAGAAAGTACACCCTTGTGGTAGTAGATGACTTTTCAAGATATACATGGGTTCTTTTCTTGAAAAAGAAGAATGAAACAGAAACGGCTCTGCCAAATCTTTTGAAGCAACTTCAAACAGAGAAGGAAGTCAAAATAATAAGAATCAGATCGGATCAAGGAACCGAATTTGTCAACAAAGTGATAAAGGATTTCTGTGCTCAAAATGGAATATTTCATCAACTCTCGGCAGCACGAACTCCTCAGCAAAACGGAGTAGCCGAAAGGAGAAATAGAACTCTAAAAGAAGCAGCACGAACAATGATTTCACACTCAGGTCTACCAAAGAGATTTTGGGCTGAAGCCATAAACACCGCATGCTATACACAGAACAGATCCTTAATCAACAAGTCTCACAACAAAACACCATATGAGCTATGGAAAGGTAAGACTCCAAATATTGGATATTTTCATGTTTTTTGTTGCAG